TCCAGATTCCTGACCAATCATCCTGTTGGTAGCCTCTTCTCTGGGTGCCGGTAGTGCCCCTGGAACCGCCCCGCTGAGAGCCACCCCGCCGACTGGCGATGAGGCTACCCTGAACGGGTTGTTTATGCCGGTCGTTGTCTGCGTTTGCCCGTCGCCTAGATACGTGCTCATGCTATTCCCCAGTCGAGAACGCGAACAAGATGGGTACTGTTGACCCTGCTGTTTTATCCCTTCGTATTCGACGGCTAGCTGTATGTACAACGATGAGAAATCGTGTCTCCACACATACAATTTATAAACTGGGGCTGCGTTTTCGTATATCCTACTTAGTTCCCTCTCCGGGCTGTAGCCAGCGTGGTGCATCAATACCCTTATGTCCACCACATACTGTTTGAATCCATCGCCATCTCGTTGACGAGGAACCCGGATTTCGTCTTCTAACAATTCAAAGTATCGCGGGGGCAAAAAGAAATCTAGGAATCCCTCCTTGAATTTATCCCATGACACGCCCCTTAGCCCGCTCGTCATGAACCAGCGAGCTGCTTCGCCGATCATGACCTCATTCATCGCCCTGGGTAACCTGTCTGGGTCGATGTCGTATGACAGGGCTCGATCCTCGATGGCCTCCACGAAGGACAATGGATCAGTCATCGAATCGTATACCCCACTTCCTGACTTGTTCGGGTACGATGCAGTGCCCCCTCAATTCCAATGGTAAGCGCGTTGGTGTTGATTGGGCAGCCTCAGCAACACGAGATTTCACCGATTCTTTTAACCTATCACCCGCATCACGGATCTTATGGCTCGGGATCACCGGGACTTCGAGCAGGCCAGGAATGCACAGACGTGGGCCGGAATCCGATTCGGATTTCGACCGCCGATCCCATTGGACGGTGTCGGGTTCGGGCTGGGCTTTCTGCTCGGGGGTCCGGGTGTATTTGGCTTCTAACTCTACTAGCCGAGCCCATACTTTGGCCGAGTACGAACCTCCAGCAACGAAGCTCGCTGCCGGCGACGCAAGTCTTCGACCCGCCCTAGGTCGCTCAACCCGCAGTAGACCCAACGCACGCCCACCCCTGGATTCTGACACTTTCGTATCGTATCCATCCTTTCGTACGTCACCTCTATCTTTGTTGAACTTATGACAGAGGTCCGAGTTTCGTTTCCTTATCTGGGTTGTATTTCTGTCTCCGTAAGCTACCCTTTTATTTTTATTTTATTTTTATTCTTAATTTATTTTATTTTATTATTTTTTATTTTTTTTATCTTTATTTTTAATTAATTTTATTTTTAATTTATTTTATTTTTATTATCTATATTTTTAATTAATTTTATTTTTTTATTTTAAATTAATTATATTTTTATTTTTATTAATTTTATTTTTATTATTTTTATTTGATTTTATTTCGTACCGAGCCGCAAAACAAAAGTCACTGCGCACTTTAGTTGACCACCCTAAAAAGTGACGCTGCGTACTAGCCTCACTCTACAGTACCTTTTCGCTGCACTCATTTACTCTTTCACCGTGGTACCATGTTCACTCTCATTGGCCACTCTCACTTTATCCCTTTTTTTTTGAACATCAAAAAAAAACAAAAAAGGTTGTTAATCTAGCTTTTAGCTTGTTAATTTATTTTTTCTGTTTTCTCTTTTTTTTTGGTTGTTGTTGCATTTAAAAGAAAAACTCCACCTTTCATAAGGCAACGTTCACTTATGCTGACGCGGTTGTCACTTCGCACTTTACACACTTTCCACGCTGCGCTCACTTACAGCGCAAGAGAACTGTCGGGAAGACTCCGCCACAGAGGGATTTATAACTTTGGGAAGAGGGAAGGGAACAGCCGGGCTCACTCCGCTGCAGTTATGTTAGGGTAGGTCAGCTTGATGGGTGCTGCTGGGATCACTCCGCCGCAGAATAAAAAGCCTGCAAAACACACACAATCGCTATACGGCCTATGCCGCCAACTTGTACAAAACAATGTGTCACTTCTTTTTTTTCCTAACCTTCGCGTTTCCCCTAAGTCTTGTCGTCCGTCGTCGCACTCGCACGCCTCATACTTACTTTCGCTGAATTCCAAGTGATCTTACTAATCAGCTTCAGCAGCTCACGACCCTTTTTCGCCCTTTTTTCATACTACTTTTTCATACTCTACAATTCGCTCTCTTCTACTCCTAACGACGTTAACAATCAGAGTTGCAAGTGATTTGATTTCATTTGCAATCGGCCTCTGAATTTAATGCACGTACTCTTAAATGATAAGTAATTTTTATTCAGATTTTGTTATACTCCATTATTTGCTCTTGGCCTATGATTATTATGTGTTTCTATTTTATAATGTCGGTGGGTCTATTGTGACCCCGCGTCACATGTGTGTGTATGTGTCCGCGTCTGGCGCGTACCCTGCAGCAGCCCGTTAGGTCGAAATGGTAAACTTTCGGCAAGCACCTGCACCGGACTGATCACTTAAATAATTTTATGACCAGCGGAAATTTGTGCACAAAATAACATTTTAAAAATTTTCATATATACCAAATACATAAAAGGAGCGTTTATATATTTATGGTATTATTAATAATTTTATTGTCTTAAAATATTTATCTTTTTTATATATGAATTTGATCTGCAGGTAATGAGGAGTCAACATTTATTCATCAATTCAAACCCAATATCATAAAAAGAAGGGTGCGCGTGCCAAAAATTATATTTTCTTTTGTGCCCATGATCTGCCCATTCACACATATTTATTTCTGTGTGTGTGTGTGTAGAGCTCGAAATTCAGAAACTCCAAAATATTATCAAATTTTCATCGGACAGGCAGGCAAGAACAGGCACACATGCGCATAAATGCTTCTATTCATATACAAAATATGCAAGTATGTGTGAATAGCAAGTCCAAAAACTTTTAAATGCACACATGCCAACGCTTAGGTACCATTTCGAACAAAAACGAGCTAAAATAAAAGAATTTCGCATCGACTTGGCAAACCCTTTCATTATTTCATATTACTCGTCCCCTCAAAAAGGAAGAAATGCCACCGGCTTTTGACAAAAATTAAATTTGTGGGCATTTTTGCTTGTGCGGACACATACACACACAAACATTTAAACGGTACATAGACTAATTGAAAGAGCACTGAGAGTAAGCCAAAGCAGTTTCCTGTAGTGGGAGCGAGATAAAAAACAGCGATGCCGTTCTATCGCACAAATCATATGGATGAGAGTAAACCAAAGCAGTTTCCTGTAGAGTGAGCGAGTAAAAAGACAGCGATGCCGTTCTACGTCACAGGTCATATGTATTCTTACTCTCTTGCTGTGAGAGCATGCGGGCATGTCTCGAACCCGAACAAAAACGAAGGCGACTTTGGACCAGCCGGAAATAAAACGCTTGTCACCACCAAATGTACGGTTTGTCCAGTCTATATGTCATTTGGTTAGTGGCTGTGGTTATACTTAATAGAGCACGATTTATCAATCATTTTGCCTTTTATTTCATTAAAATCGTCGGTACAGTTACTTAGACAATCGCATTTTTGTATTTTTCTCATTATACCCTATGTTAATGCAAAAAAAACTAGCTGGCAATATTATATTTCATAATGTAAAATGGCGTCAATATTTCAACCTATATTTATCGATTTCTCCGATAATGGCCTCAAATGCACGGTAGTTGTGCATATAGAGCACGATTTATCAATCATTTTGCCTTTTATTTCATTAAATCGTCGGTACAGTTGTTTAGACAATCGCATTTTTGTATTTTTCTCATTATACCCTATGTTAATGCAAAAGAACTGGCTGGCAATATTATATTTCATAATGTAAAATGGCGTCAATATTTCAACCTATATTTATCAATTTATCCGATAATGGCCTCAAATGCACGGTAATTATACCCTATGTTAAGTTATGGTGTTATGGTGGCAATATTTCAACATATTTCAAATGGTGGCAATATTTGAAATTGTAACTACAAAATGAGTTACAACAGTGAGGGCTTTATAATGGCCGATCCGCCTAAAAATAAAAATTTATAAGCATTGGCAGCCCTTGACATTGCTGCTCTCACTAATAAAGTAGAGCAGCAACAGAAATTGATAAGGGCGCAACAAAGGCAAATAAATGTAATAAAAAAAGCAGTGGCGTGTACCTCAGCTGCCGCAGATGCCACAGCCGCATATGCCTCAGCCGCAGCAGGTATGGATACAGCCGCAGCAGACGTGGATGCAGCCGCAGCAGCCCTGTATACAGCAGCAATCCACACAAAGCATGACATATTATATATATGAAGACGATGTTTAATAAACATATATGTATATATATATTTAAATTTGTTAACAATAAATAATAATAATAAACCTTAAAATCAACTCTCTATTTTATTCAAAATTTCTGAAAAAATAATATAAAAGCTAGTTGGCGCCGTATGGAATTTGCTCCGTTTTCTTGGATACAGAAAAGTGCCGTTATATTAGACCCTGCCAACCTATTACAAATCTAGCATACAAACGAACGAAACTGACAATCTGTGAAAATAAGTGAATAATTAAAATATCGGTCGCTCTTTTTATACATACCAAAAATCGACGCTAAGTGACCGCGCCAATTTGACGCACATATGGTTGCTACACGACAATTTTCAATTGTGCTGTCGCTACCTTATCGGCAACTTTTAATTGCTTATATTAAATAAAATACGCAATATAGTTAAGTTCCATCAAAGTTCGAACAGAAATAAGAAAATGAAAATTTTTTTTAGTTTGGTTTTATTTAATTGTTGTATTGTAGTTCAGATTTTAAAAAACATACGCTTTCACAATATCTTAAATAAGGAAATTTTCCGTATTCGTCAATTTGGGTAAAAAACTGGAAAATAAACTAATCTAAAACATGTTGATGAAACTTAAGCTAAATTATTGTCGATGAAAAATTCCTACCCAAAGCCTTTATTGATCGTAATTATAAAAATATCTTTTTTTATTTTATTTAAAAAAAAATATAGTTTAACCAGCACGGGACCTTTTGGTGGCAGCTGTCAAGTTCATGGACCATTGCCACAAATTACGCATTCTAGTTCAGACGATTTAACAGCTGTTCCTGATGTAGATTCTGGAAATTCAGGAATGAAGAGCCCAATATTAAACAACCCCGCCTTTTCTCATTCGAAATGCCCACCTCGAGTTCATCGGAGCTGCTTCTGTGTACGATTTATAGCAGAGCATACCAAAATGCAGGAGGACTCTACAAAAGTAAGTAATTAAATAATAAATATATTTTTTATTGTAAAACTTATATTAATTTTATTTAAAAGGTTAAAGAGGATTGGAAATATGTCGCAATGGTGCTGGATAGACTCTTTCTATGGATTTTTACATTAGCTGTTCTGGCAGGCACAGCTGGAATAATTTTACAAGCGCCAACTTTGTACGATGATCGGATTCCTATAATCGAACAGAAAGATTTGGAATTTGCAGGAACTTCAGCCGGACGATGTAGACCAGCGCAATAGCGTTTTTATGCTAATATAACCTACATAATCTTGACCTGACCGTATTTACATGGTTTATTAAGTTTTTTGCAAAAGTTTCATCATCTTAATAGCAAAATTAAATATATTTAATTTTTTTCTTTCATTCCGTAATAGCTAAAATATCGCATCAAGCCATAAAAGAAAAACAGAGAATCGTTATTTAATTTTTTTTTTTCAATATGATCGTACTTTATTTACATTATTGTACAGTTTTTAAACGTTTGCTTCATACAGAGAATATGATGAATAAGTCAATGTCAAAATGTAAGCCAAAAAATAGATAAAAAATATTGTTTAGAACTAGTTTCAACTCTTTCAACATTGCAAGTACCTCCCTTTGATTTAAGTTTAAAGGAAATTGACGACAAAGTTATTTTCAGTACTAATGCACGCGCCACCATTAACGACATCGTCCATGCCAAATGGGACAGCAAAAATAAGTCTTCTTTTTTAATATTATTAACTATTTAGTCTTTTTACTTATTCTAATTTGTTCTAGCTCGTATATAAATTAATCCACTGCATCCACTTTAGAACCATCATTATTTTGCTTGTACTTATATGTAGTAGTCCGTTTTCAGTCCAAACGCGCCAAACTATTAAGATATATGATTTTTCACACACCTTTTGAAACGATCTTTAGCATCAGTCGTCATTATTCTAAATTTTTTAACTCTTGTTTATTAACTGTAGAAGATATAGATTATAATAATTTCAGATGGTGGGATTGATGACTAGAAAGATGAAGATTTTCATACACTGTGGGATGTGCATTCATAAATAATTTTTGGGTGCAATAAGGTCAATATAAATATTTATATAGCATACCTAGGGCCCAGCGTAAATCCATAAGAAATAGCAATCGAGACATTGTGTTTTTTCGTGTTAACTTACTTGACCGAATATTACTAAGATTCATGATCCTTGCTAGAACCGTACACATGATTAAACTTTAATAAACAGTACAGACAAGACAAGCAATAACTAAGGGGAGACCAATGAAGACAATTACTGCTTTAAATTTGGAAGCAATGACTATACTTGCAATTGGCATGATATTTCGAAAGAATGGTCATTTTTTAGATGATTTGCTATTAACATAATCTCATTTTGTTAATCTTGTTTATTATACGAGGCTAACGAGCATGGTTAAAGCTTCGCGATTAGTTTTACTTGTTTGGACAAACATGTTTGGTATCAAATGAATAACTTCGTTGAGTATTTTTGAAGCCGCTGCTGGCATTCATCTGCATGTATAATGTATTTCTGCAGGGCTCTAATAAATACAAAGAAACCGCACCTTGTGCGCTGCACATGTAAGGTCCAGTAAGGGATATTATATTTTGGCCCAATACTTTGTAAAATACATTTTGAGTAACTTTTATGTGCATTGTGTAACAATTGTATGTAGTTCAATAGTTATAAATACACATTTATAATTTTAGGGCTTGCATAAGTCATTGAATTTTGTGCATATGTGTATATGTATATGTCCCCTTATGGCTGTTGTATACATGTTCACAACTTCATTTTACAATTTTTAACCATTTATATTTTATAAGTACATGCACACATATGTCAGGCAATTAAAACTTTTGTGAATCCCTTTAGGCACAGAATATATAATTATTAGTCAGTATATATTATAACTATTCATTGGTACATATGGAGTTATGTTCGTACCTATTTCCCCAAACTAAAATAAAAATAATAAGTACTAATATATACAGCATCTAATCATAGCACTGTTAGTTAGATAAAAGATTTTTTTCAAATCCTTACAGCAAACTGTAACCAAGACCTAATTTATACTACAGTATATATAATTCTATAATACATGCGCAATGTATGCATGGGTTGTATACTGTAGATTAAAATACAAAATGTGAAATAGAAAGTTAACATTAAAATATATAAGGTAAAATATTAGTTTAAAGTACGTATTTGTTACTTAATAAAGTTGAAAATTAAAATTATTCGAATGTTGTGACTTTATTTTTTTTTTTAATGATTAAGCACTTATATAAATATACTAGTGGGTATTGCACGTCCGTGCCCGTGGAACATTTTGTGCTTAAAATTTAAGATATTAAAATATTAAGTATACGCATTTTTACAAAAGAAGCTTGGAGTCTGCAAAAAGTGTGAAACACGTCTTAAATGATTTTTCGTGTAGATATTTGGTAATAAATTTTAACACCAAACGTCACCCGCCAAATCTTGGACCCCCACCTTCACCAAGGACGAATGCATTTTTTTGTCAAGTGTCAAACCCCCCTCAATTGAATCTGAACAATAAACAATGAATTTAATCATTTGAGGCGTATTTCGCCCTTTTTATAGAATCCAAGCTTCCTCGGTGGATAATGCGATTTAAAGATATTTTGGGCTGAGTTATAAGTTTTTTCCGATTTGCTTCAAACTTATTTTCAAACCTCTATATAAGAACTTAATGAATACGTGTGTCCACGATTCAGGAAATTCCACCCACAAGAGTGGGAAGTTAGCGAAATACGGTTGTAAGCTTTTTGCTTAGCAAATGATCGGCGTCGAAATCATTTTCAAAGATCTTTGTGAGAATTTATATAATACGTTTTTGGGTGGCAAATGCTAGTTTAGTCTTCAGCTTCAAGATTGTCACCGCAAGACTAACATGGGCGGAAACCGTTCATTCCAACACTTGGTTCTTTATTCGATGCATTTAAAACATAATTATAAATTGAAGTAGATATCAAGATGGATAGATTTCAATTTTCCACAATTTTCCATTTTATATTTTTTAACACAATATGTTCCACGGAAAAGGTAAATTTCCGCTAGTTTAATATAAAAGATTCAAGAAGGTTAGAAATATGTCGCAATGGTGCTGGTTAGCTATCTATGGATTTTTACATTAGCTCCTCTGGCGGGTACAGCTGGAAAGCGCTAACATTGTAAGATTATCGGATTTCCATAATTGAGCAGAAAGATTTTGAGTATGCTGGAACTTTACTCGGACAATGTAGACCAGCGCAATAGCGCTTTTATTCTAATATAACCTACACAATCTAAGCTGACCATGCTTTAATTATTTATTTATTTATTAATTTTTTGTTTATTTTATTTATTTATTAAATTTTAGTTAAGCTGTCTCGAGGTCCGGGGCTTATTAAAAACTAAAATTAAACACAATTTTGTTTTAATTTTTATATTCCGATATATTTCGGCTGCACATTGGTAACCGTCTTCAGGACACTTACACCAAAGTATTGGTATCGTGGTACATATGCTAGAGATTTTTAAAATTTGGTAGGTTCTGCAGGCTTTTGTATTCTGATTTGTTGTCTTGTTAATACATTTTTAATTACATTCTGTGGAGAGTCATTTTTGATAATGAGTTGAAGAGTTTAAATTTCTTGTCCTTTCTTTGTGGTATATTGTGTTTGATACGTTGACATACAGCTTAGTGCTATATTTATTATCATACTTCTTAGGTGGTTTGAGTTAAAGATGAGTATTCTTCCACAGGCTATAAGTTTCTTATACCACTTAATTTTTAGTGAATTGTCAAGTTATACTATAGAGTCTAAAATTGGCATTTTCCGTCTTTTTAGTTCCGTTGTAAATTTAGTGTGTTTGTGAAAAGATTTCAGTTTTCACTTCAGAATGTTATGTACTTCTATTTCAAAAAAAACAAAAAAACTACTAAACTATAAAAGAGACAGAACTCACTTGTATAGACACTTATTGAAACGACAAATCGTTTCAATCTCCACGTCAAAAAGCACAGACGTGTTACATATTGTACGTTAGATGTTTTATAAATTGTTTAATTTATTTTTTTTTAATGAGAAATGTTTTTTTTTATGTCAGTGGCTTGAAAACGGTTGGCGATGTGCTTCCGAAATACATCGCAAAATAATAATTAAAACAAAATTGTGTTTCATTTTTGTTTTTAATAAACCCCAGACCTCGAGCCGGCTTTAATAAAACTTATTAAATACCAACGGAGGGCACGCCGTAAGCATGACAGTGAAAACAAGTAATGCAACAATAGGAACTAAGTATAAAGACTCCAGAAAAACAATTAACAAATTCCAGGTAACATTGTTAAAATTAGTTAAACTTAAATTTACATCAATATTTTTGTTAAAATGCAAGAAGTACTGCAATTGTCTATACTATCTGCTGACAACGAAATCCACCCTGTCCTAAACAGACTATTAGCTAGACACACACTTTTTCCCATACCAAGGTATTGAACTTATTTATAAAACACAAACACCACTTATTACAAAAGCAAACCAAACATATGGAAATAGCAAAAACAAACATAGATCAACTGATGACCACAGATGACTCAAAAGCGTTTCTTGAGAGCAAGAGAAACATAGAACACAAAGTAACAACGACACTCAAGAAAAGGCAAGAAACGAAACATTAAAAGCTACGAGCCAAACGGAATCCTAATCTAGCGGACAACAACACGGAAAGAGATTGGTTCGTAGGCAGAACGTTTGTGTAGTTGTCGAGTAGAGGCGATTGTAATTTGTGAGGTGTATTACGGGTTCGAGTCCTATTGAGGGACCAATTTGTTTTTAATTTTTTTTTCACTGCTAAAGCAAACGAACTCGTAGCACAAGCTGAATTAGGTGAAGGTAGAATAGGGTTCAGGGTATCCTCTAGTGGGGAACTTCCAACAAAAGCCTCTAACTTATTCTATCATCAACGAGAAAGATGTGCTATCTTCGGCACACCGAAGATTTGATACCCTTGCAGACCCAACCTTTTCAAAATGCTCATAGTGCTTTGCCCGTATCTAAGAAGCACAGGGAAAATAGTTAATTCCGAGTATGGTTAAGATATCTTGAAAAACAAAACAGGTTTCCATACAACAACTTAATTTTCGACCGATCGTTCCTATGGCAGCTATATAGTGATATAGTAGCCCGATGTGAATAAGATTTTGAATAAGTGGAGGGAGCATAGTAAAACTAATAAATGCCGAGTTTGGTCAAGATATCTTGGAAAACAAAAAAAATTCCATACAACAGCATAACTTTCGACCGATCGTTCCTATGGCAGCTATATGATATAGTTGTCCGATCTTAATAGGATTTTGCATATATATGGGGAACGTAGTAAAACTAATAAATACCGA